CCCCTGGGGCGTGGGGGGGGGGGGGGGTACAAACTAGGGGCACAGACAGCGCTGGCGGGCTGACAGTAACAGCTGTGAACTGTAACCAGGGACATTTCCCCAGACTAAACTCCTCCACTTTATTAACGCGAGAGCACCCTCGCTGTTCCAAATGGTTCATGAATCTCTGGGCTCTCCGTGTGTCTAGCTCGTATGTGTAAGCACCCCTAGGAGAGCTGGCTCGGGGATGTTCTAGCTGCCTCCAGAGCGAGGCGCTTAGCTCTTCACTTTCCTCATGCTAATATTCAACTTCTTGGCATAATCCGCTAGAGTAACAGCTTTAAAACAACACCAGTTTAACTCTGTCAATAGACCCCCGCCCCCCTGACTTCACCCGTGCTCTGGTCCTTTTTAGCTGGGTGCAGGACTGGAGCTGTAAAGCTTACACACGTGTCTGTGTACTATGCCGTCCCCAAAGATCTCTGGTAACTTGGGTGGTTTTACAATTGTATTGACCTTTACTGTATTTTGAAAGACTCAAACAAATAGAGGCAACACTGAAACTGGCTATCCGCAGATAATGAAACGGGCAGAGGAGGGAAAGGACAAATATTTACCCTTCTCTAAACCCTTTCTGGTGCAGTAATCTGAAGTGTTGCTTAGAATGATAGGCAGCGAGGGTCGTGATCCCTGCATGGGATGGGAACATGGGGGTCTCTTGTTGACCCAGATTGATAGCAAGTGTTGGAATCCTGCTGGGAGATGCTGACTCATAATGGCAGATGTGACTCCATAACTCCACCCTTGACAAAGAACTGGAGGGAGGAAGGGAGGAGAGAGAATGTAGGAACTGCTGAGTTCTTGGAGAAGTGGCTTGGCTCGAGGCTTATGGTGGGTTTGTTTGAATTACTAGTAGAGGTGAACCCTGGCAAAGGATTGCTCTGCCTACTGTTTTTGCCTATTTCTGTGTTCCGGGAGGGGATTTCTTCCAGCACATGGTGTCCATTTAAAAAGTGTTCCAGGTGAATACGCTTAAGGTGGAAATGCTCCTGAAATCATCTTCATTACTGGGAGCACTAAATGCCTGGCTGCAACTGGAAGAGCATAGGGCTATGTGCCCTCAGCTTTTTATGTATTTATTTTTAGGTGACTTAATACATCAGGCCTTCATTGAAATGATAGCGATGGCTTTTAGCTGTTCCTCTTGCTGGTTGAAAATACACATGTGCAAGTTCTCCGAGTGAAACGTCCCAGAGAAGAAGAGGGGTGTGGAAATCTCTCTGGGAACCAACTCTGAATTGTTCCTACTGGTTCTTTTCTGGTGACTCAAGTGTTCTGGGCTTGTGGAAGGCCTTCCATGTATGGGCCTAGCGCTCTAGCTGTCTCCGTAGCATTGTCTGTCATTGCACAGTGTGATGTCTCAGAGCACTCTGCTTTGAATCCACAAGGTGAGGCCAGTGATTACAGTCCACTAGGGTACAGTTCCCAGCTTCAGAGTGAAACCTGTTCAGCAGCAGGTGCTGCTGTAAAACAAGGAAGGGATTTTCTTGACTCTGGCCAGGTGGTTTACTACATGGCCTTTCCTTTATCAGCTTTGACTTCCCCAGGCCGTGATTGCAGGCTGCCCTTTAAAGGAACTCGGCGGATGAGTGCAAACTTCAGAGCTAGCTCTCTTGCAGTCACAGAAGCAGTGGGCAGAGATTATTGATGCTTACATTTTTAGTATCTCAAGGCCTCTAATTTTGGTGATATTTTGGATTGCTGTGATAGAAGGCAAGTGGGTTGTTGGAAAAACAAAGAATGCTGTAATATCTATAGTGATATGCACCACACTGAGCCTGAGACAAGGGGTGCCCTGCATGAGGGCAAATAAACTTGCCTGGGTGCCCTGTGGCTAGCAGTATGGCTGATGATCCCTTCTTAAGGTCCACGTGCACTGTCCCTGGTTAGAAGCAGAAAGGAGGTTGGGGGATGGGAGGGGAGAAGGAAGACAGATTTTCCTATTCCAAAGCTACAAGTCCCTCTAACTCCTAGTAGCATTAACTGTGGACTCTTGTAAACACACTGCTATCTTCATTCACTCTGGTGTGTTGCCAACCGAGGATGCTTTCCTCGCAAAGGGGTGCGTGCAAAAAAGCCGTTGAGTCACAGACGGGCAACAGTTTCTCTAGAGACTAAGCAGCTGTGAGACCATGGAAGGGGAGTTGAGAGAGTTTCTGTGGCTTACCACACCTGACTTTTAGCATGTCTCCTCTTGGTGAGCAAGCATTCCTTTCCAAATTGACCACCCTCCTCCGCCCCTCCCCCGAGGGTTGGGGAAGAGGAGTTCAGTTAGCATTTTGGTAAATGGATCCAATTGACTTTTTTTTAAAATTTTCTATAAAGAATAAATACAAGTGAAGTCCCGTATAAGCCCCCTGGATTGTATGTCTCTGAAGGCCATAAGCAGGGCCGGTCTTGGGGACAATAGTGCCATGGATGAACTAGTACAGTGGTCCCCAACGCAGTGCCCGCGGGTTCCATGGCACCTGCTGGGGCATTTGTGTGCCAGCCTAGCGATCAGGGCCAGCCCGAGCCATTCTTGCACCCTGGGCGCCCGGCGCATGTGCAGTCCCCACCCCTGGATGGCCGGCAGCCCCAAAAGGTTGGGGACCACTGAACTAGAGAATTGGTCTGAGGTAAACAAGATGAAGTTTAATAAGGACAAATGCAAAGTACTCTACTTAGGCCCACCCATTCCCTTGCCCCAAGTTCCCTGCTGGAGCCTCACACCCAGGGCCTGCCTTACCTCTTGGCTACAGTGTACTGGGCAGTCGTCCAATCACAAGGCCAGCCTTGCCCACGTTGCAGAAGCGTTGCTGGCCGAAGTAGGAATAGGCAGTTGAGAACACGGGTTGCTGCTCATGACTAGAGCGGTCACGGAAGAAGCGCTAATGTGATGGCCTAGCAGGCCACAACGCAGCTCCTTTATTAAGAGTCTGTTTTCCAGTGACGTGCATCGCTAGTAAGAGCTGGCTGGGATACAAAGCCTTCCCGCTGTCTGAGTTCAACCTATGCTGGGCTGCTCTAAATACATTACCCTCTGATGGTTGTGAAGAGGTAAAACTAGCCCCCCGTTGACAGTCCCACCCTTTCCTGCTCTCGTGCCCCTACCAGGTGATTTCCCAAGGCTGGTCTTAGTATTGCTTGCTATGCTTATTAAATCCTCTGCAACAGCTCTACTTCTTCTCCGAACCAAAGATCCAATGGAAACTCCTGCTGCCCTTCCTTTCTCCTTGAAGGAAGGATTCCCTGTAAGCTGGGTGCTTGTGCAGTCGCTCGGAGACTCGAGTGATGAGCAGAACTCCCAATGTTTCTACTGCTGGTGCACTTTTGCACATGCCTCTGCATGTGGATGGAAAAGAGTAGAGAGAATACTGCTGTGGACAATTTTTTTTTACAATGTTACTGGCATAGTGCACCATGGGGAGTGGGCAAAGCAGTGCATGAGGGAGGTCTTGCATTAATCCCACATGACATTCTCAAACAATCCAGGGATATGAATGGTTAACCAGTAAACATCACCCTCCCATATTTCTATGTGATCGCTCAGGACCTCTCCCATTTTACAGGTAAGAGAAACTGAGGTGTAATTCTAAGACTGTTCAAATACAGGTATGTCAAACTGGCTTTGTTTTACGTTGAGGTATGGAGGAGCAACAGCTTCCAAGCACCTGAATGAATTAGGCCAAATATGGATATTTTTAATGTGGCCAGCTAGTTTTATGTTCTCAGCACTTTTGGGTGAGTTGGCGGAAGACAAGCTGCTTTCAGCGACATGCCTAGCTTTGCATGCTTGTGATAGAATATGTGATGTCACCAGGACCACAAAGGGAGCTGGTGTGAGCGCCGGGCCTGACTTCTGGTTCGTAGTTTCTAGCCCATTCCATATGTATAGCTTGTTGCTGGTCTGCCAAAATGAAGCTCAAAAGGTCCCTTGGGAATGTTGACTTTTGATGACAATCTAGTGGGCCCCTGCCTGGTTCCCCAGAAGTCTGTGCTGCCTGGCTCAGCTCTTCTTTGCAAGTCCTAGCTGCTTGCCCAGAGCTGGGGCTCTTTGGGCAGCCCTCCTAGAGCTGTTCTCTGAAATTCCCAGCCCTTGTTGCTGGTCTGCCAAAATGAAGCTCAAAAGGTCCCTTGGGAATGTTGACTTTTGATGACAATCTAGTGGGCCCCTGCCTGGTTCCCCAGAAGTCTGTGCTGCCTGGCTCAGCTCTTCTTTGCAAGTCCTAGCTGCTTGCCCAGAGCTGGGGCTCTTTGGGCAGCCCTCCTAGAGCTGTTCTCTGAAATTCCCAGCCC